AAAAAAAAAAAGAAAGAAAGAAAGAAAGAAAGAAAGAAAGAAAGAAAGAAAGAAAGAAAGAAAAAGAAAAATGCATACAAAGCCATGCATGATGTCACATGACTTTAATCCCAGCACCCAGGAGGCAGCAGCAGGCAGATCTCTGAGAGATAGAGGCCAGCTTGCCGCTTTCTTCTCAGCATGGTATTCTGGTCAGTTGGAACTAGAACACAGATCCTATCAGCCAGTCATCCTCATAAATATCTCTCCATTACATCTTTCTTTTTTAAAATATATTTTTATTTATTATTTTTATTTTATGTGTATGAGTGTATTGCCTGCATGTATGTGAGTGCACCTGTGTCATGCAGTGCTGCGGAGGTCAGAAGAGGGTGTCAGATTCCCCTGGAACTGGAATTAAGGATGGTTTGTAGCCACCATGTGGGTATTGGGAATCAAATCCAGGTCCTCTACAAGACATCTTTCGTTTGAGGAAGTTGGAAGTGGGTATCTGAGTGTTATAAATAAAATCTTAGAAGCCGGATGTGGTGGCACACGCCTGTAGTCCCAGCACTTGGGAGGCAGAGGCAGGTGGATCTCTGTGAGTTCAAGGCCAGCCTGGTCTACATAGTGAATTCCAGGACAGCTGGGGCTACAGGGAGACCCTGTCTCAAAAAAACAAAAATAAATAAATAAATAAATAAATAAATAAAATCAATCTTAGGTCCAGGGACCCCACTGAATGCACAAAGAACACAAGGACAAAGTGAATCAAGGCAGATTTTACTTCTGCAAAAGAGAGTATTGCATGGTCAGTCAGATCCAGCAAGCACACAGGATCCAGAAGCTTGATAGGTTTTTATCCCCAACATAGGTATACTCTGTCTTTTCCCCATTAGCTGGGGTCCAACCTCACAGTCTTCCCCAGTTGGCTAGTTTTAACTATAATTGGTTCAAAAAAAGGGGGAGGAGGGGAGAACTCTACTGCCCCAGGCCATCAGGTTTGGGACTGCATCAGGGGCTTTCTTTAAACAAAAGTTTTACAGGGTATGGTCAGATTAAAAGATTAGAATTCCTTGTCATGAACCAAACTTTACATGGTTTGAAAGAAAAGACTAATATTTAATGTTTCTTACAAATATCCTCAAAGTTCTGGCCAGGTGTGGTGGGGCATGCCTTTAATCCTAGCCTCAGGAGGCAGAGGCAGGTGGATCTCTGTGAGTTCAAGGCCAACCTACAGGGAGATCCTGTCTCCAAAAGACCAAAAAACAAAAAAACCAAATGTCCTAAAAATTCTTAAAAAGGTCTCTTTGTTCTTACTTAATTTTGAATTATGTTTATGTGTGTGTCTCTGTGTGTCTGTGTATGTGTATGTCTGCACTTGAGTACAGGTGTCTATGGAGGCCAGAAGAGAGTGTTGGATCATCTGGAGCTGGGTTTATAGGTGATGTTAAGCTGCCTGGTATGGGTGCTGGGACCTGAACTCAGGTTCTCTGCAAGAGCAGTACATGCTCTTAACTGGTGAGCTATCTCCCCGGCCCATAAAAGGTCTTTCTTTTTCCCCACCATTCATATCTATTTTGACACATGAATGAATATTCACATTTGAGAAAACCTATTATATTCATATCAAAATACTTCCTTCCAGTCTATCAATGTTGTTTCCATTTTATCAAGATGACAGTGTCAGAGTAAACTCTGGTGTCAGTCTGGTCCTCTTGTTAACACTGTGTTTTTTCTTTGGCTGTCTGCCAGATGTTTGTGAAAGCTCGAGGCTACATGTCCAAACACTGTTTCAGGAAGAGGTTGAACCCCTGTACTGGAGACCACCTGTTCTCTGCCTTTGGTCGTTCTCATGAGTGCTCAGGACACATTTTCATAATGGGTCCATTCCACACCTTTCTCCTGTTTTATTTTTATTTTTCAAATTTCCATTCCTATTCCATTTTCTCCCCTCTCAGAGGCAACTATCCTAAGATGTTTAACATACATACTTTAAAAGCTGTTCATGTGCTGGGCATAGTGGTGCACACCTTTAATCCCAGCACTCAAGAAGCACATGGATATCTGTGAGATCGAGGCCAGGCTTGTCTACATACCAAGTTTCAGGCCAGCTAGGCGTTACATAGTGAGAGCCTGTCTCAAAAAACAAAATTCATGTATTGTTTTGTGTTGCATTGATAAATGGCATGGTATGTCACCTTAAGGATAGTTCTCTAAAACTTTTTATTACATTTATTTGTGTGTGTGTGTGTTGCCTGCCACAGCACAGTCCTTTCCTGAGGTCAAGGGACAACTTGTGGGAGTGGGCTCTCTTCCTCCACTATGCGGGTCCCAAGGATTGAACTGAGGTCATCAGGCTTGGCAGCAGGAGTCTTTACCTGCTTAGCCATTTGGTCCAGAGTTAGAATTTTCATCAGAAGTGTTGGGTGTTCTTGGTCAGCTTGATCTATCAGGAGTGTTCAACCTGTGGCCCATATACCACATCAGCCCAGGACAGCTATGAATGCGATTCCACACCAAACTGTAAACTTACTTAAAATGTTATGAGATTTTTTTTTTTTTTTTTTTTGCAATTTTCAATAAGCTCTATTAGGAAGTTCTCAAGTATTAGCTTTGTACATAACAAGGTTGTGCTGGAATGTCAAAAGGTAAGGAATGTCTGATTCTAGATGTTACTGGGAATAATACCTTATTTTTATTCAATTCTTCAAAGGAGCCAGTGATCACAATGGGAAGAATTTTCCTAACACCTAGCCAGCAGCAGAGCCAGGTTGAGTGCCAGATCCCTGGCTCTCATTCCAACCTACTTCCCAGGTCCAGCAGCCTTCACACCACCAACTAGATCAGTCAGGAAGTCCAGCAACTGGCCTTGGCCCAGGACTACCCAATACAATAGCCACTAGCCTGGTTGTTGCTGAGCATTTGAAACATGGCTAGTGGGAACCAAGATATGTATGTAACATACATAAACTTTACACTCAATTGCAAAGACCTGATATCAGAAAAAAAAAAAAAAAGTAAACTACAATAATTTTTACAGCAATTTTATTGAATACTTTGGATATATACTGTCTTCACTGAAATATACTGTCAAAATTAATCTCATGGTTTCTTTAAATAGGGACATAGAAAATCCCAGTTAAGTAGTAATAGTAACGTAGTATAAGAATATGTCAAAATGTGTGACTGCTTTGAGAGGGTCTATAGTTTGGTCAAGTACAGCTTCACCTGCAAATAAGGACAGAAACTGGCTCAAACTAAGGAAAGGGAGCGTGGGTTCTTGCTTTTTTCTTGCAAACAACAGAAACCAATCTGATCATTCTGATCATTCGTCTCCATTCTACCGCCTCCAAAACAGAAAAAGCGAGAAACAGTTCTGGAGTCGCGAGCATCGGGGAGCACTACCAACCCAGCCTAGCACTGAGCACCTCTCAGCACTAGTGCTAGAAATGCTTTTCTGGGTAATTCCAAACCTTGCCCAACTCGGCGCAGCAGGTGTTCTAATCCCCGAGAGGGAGACTGTGATAGGCCAGCCTTCATCATGTGAATAGGCAACGGCCTGTGATTGGCTAATTGGCTACCGAGGGCGCCGCTAGGGATTAGGTGGAATAATTTGTTTAGGAAAAGTAGAGGGTAGAATGCAGAGCTTTCTGCAGGGCCTTCTCAGGCCGCTAGTGGCACAGTCCTCGGCACAGATTTATGCCCCTTCCCCACATGTGTTTTAATGAAGATTTGAGTCACTGTCCGCTCTGTGTTTCCTGACTCTTCAGGCCTTCCTGAGATCACTTTATTTCTCTCTCCTCTCTCTCTCTCTCTCTCTCTCTCTCTCTCTCTCTCAAGCTATCATCTATCATCTATCCATATCCATCATCTATCGTCTATCCATCATTTATCATCTATATCCATCATCCATCATCTATCAATCAATCTACCTACCTATCTACCTATCTATATCTATCTATCTATCTATCTATCTATCTATCTATCTATCATCTAATCTAATCTACCTACCTACTTATCCATTGTGACACAGTTTCTCTCTATATAGGCTGTTCTCGAACTCTCTAAGTAATACAGTCTGGCCTCAAATTAGTGATCTTCCTGTCTCAGCCTCCTGAGTGGTTGTCACAATCAGCTTCGGTTCAGGCTCTTTTAGCCCTAAAGCTGTAGGCTAGGGGTGCTTGTTTGGACAAGGAGGGAAGGTCTACTGGGGTTGGATGTCCCCTCATGCTCTCTGCTTTGTTTCCAGAGTTGCCTGCTCAGAGACCAGAACCTGTGCAGTCAGGAGGGCAGCCAGGGTTTCAAGACTTGTCTGCTCACAGGCCAGAAACACATCATCCAGGAGCAGGGCCATGGAGCACAGTGAGGTGGTTGATGCCCCGGCTGGCTCTGAGGTGCCCCAGGAACTGCTGGAAGAAATGATTTGGTTTTTTCGTGTAGAAGATGGTAAGTGGTAAGACACCGGTGGGGTGTGGCACAGCTAGACACTGTCTTTTCTTTTTTAAATATTTTTTATTTTATGTATATGAGTGTATTACCTACATATGTGTAAGTGCACCTGTGCCATGCCATGTACTCAGAGGTCAGAAGAGGGCATTGGATCCCCTGGAACTGGAGTTACAAATGGTTGTTAGCTGCCATGTAGGTGTTGGGAATGGAACTCACTTCCTCTGCAGGAGCAGCCAGTGCTTTTAACTGCTGAGCCATCTCTTCAGCCTCTGACACTGAGTTTTCTACCACACTAATAGCACATTTCCTTCAAGAGGGACTGAAGCTAGACATCTCACTATCCAGAGGGGTTGGGCTGAGCCCTACTCTCTGTTGTCTCAGGGTGTGGCCACTCAGCTGTCAGTCACCTCTACTGTTTATTAAACTCTCCTGTGTGTCAAGCAATGTTGTCAACACTGGAGTTACAGCAGTGAATAGAACAGAAAACTCTCTGCTTGCATAAGAGTCCACTGTAGTGGAGGAGACAGAAAATAAACCAGGTCAACAACTAAAAGTATAATGTGTTCCTGATGCATAGTAAAAAAAGAAGCTAAGTAAGCCAGGCCTGCTGGTACAGGCCTGCCATCATCAACTCCAGCTACCGAAGAGGCTGAGCCAAGAGGATCACAAACAAGTTCAAGGCCTTACACGGTGAATTGAAGGCCAACCTGGATGGCTTAGTGAGATCTTATCCCAAAACAAAAAAAGGGGCTGAGGATATTGTTCAATGGTAGTGCTTAATAAAGGTTTGTCATGGAAAAAATACTTGCAGGAAGGGAAGGGGTTAGCTATGCAGATTAATTGGGGGAAGACCATTCCTGTCAGAGGGAATGGCAAAAGCTTAAGCCTAGAGCCTACCTTACTTTAGAAGGATATAGACACATCCTGAGCATCCAAATCCCAGCTCACCACTTTTCTGTGGGAAGTTATTAAATCCAGTTTGACTGTCACTCCTGCCTCCCTCTTCTCCTCTCCTTTTTCATTTTTTTCCTCCTTAAATCAGTAAAATCGAAGACTGTGAAGTTCATCCTAGCCAGCCTCCTCCTCATCTCTTACCCCCTCCACCCAACTATTCAGCTGCAGTGCTGTCTCCTGCATAGGATCATCTTTCCCCACCCATCCATCCACCTACTGGTCAGACCCGGAGTTCTACCAGGACATATGGTCTGGATGGGGGTCTCTACAGCAGGGGATAGATGATGCTGTGAACTAGGTTTGAGCCCAAGCCACAACTGTGAGTGGGTTTGAGTGGCACCTGGCTTTTCCTCAAGGATCTGTCTTTATCCTTCCTCAGCGACTCCTTGGAATTATTCCATCCTCGCTCTTGCAATGGTGGTAGTCATGATAAGCATGTTCCTCCTGAGAAGGAGCATCCTGGCAAACAGGTGAGGAGCTGGTCTGGGGTGGGTCTCGAGGTGGGAGTGGGGCTTCCTTCCTAGATTGCCCTCTGGGAATCACTTAGGGCCCTTAGTACTCCACCTTTTTGTGGCAGCCTTCAGGGAATTTGGAGAATTCAAAGCTGCTAAACAACCCAGCAACTGTCCCTGATAACCAACTCCTGGCCCTGGCCAGTAAGCAGGAATGATTCAGGAGTGTCACTCTTAAAGGGGCCTCCAGCTCCTCTCACCTGATCAGGAAGCAATGCCCTCCGCCAACTTAACTGAGAGACAAGGCAGCTATCTGAAGAAGCAGCAGACACAAGTCTTCTCCCCCATGGCCCAAGCAGATTCTCTGGCACGCAGTTCCTTCCACTGTGGCCAGGAAGTCCATGGGTTCCTTGAACAAAACAGTTCCGAGAGAGGGATTTGTGAGAGTTACTGGAAGGAATGTCAGGTAGAGAAAGGAGGCAGTGGGAGCTAGTGAAGGTGGCTGGGCAGGGGAGTGAGGTGTGCAGAGCTGGGGGTTGGGTCTTACATGCATGGCCAGTGGTATGTGTAGATCTGTTTGGAGAAGCAAGTAGGAAGAGACAGAAGGTTGGTTAGGAATTTCCTGCAGCATCTAAAATGATGTGGGGTTGTGGTGGTGAGGACTTGTGCTAAGTAGGATGACAGTCCTGGGGTTAGGGACAGTGTGGTTTGATGAAAAGTCACAGGACTCAGAATGAGGGAACTTAAGTGCATGAACAGCTATGTGCTTCTTTGGCCTCTTAAGTCACATTTCCTGATCTCTAAGTGGCAATCAAAGAAAGCTGAGCTCCCAGGTGGCCTTGCAGGTCTGGTGAGATGCTGTACAAGCAAGTGGAAGCTGTTTTTCTGTGGAAGAAATTGAGTCATCACCACTTCTCAGCTCCCAGCTGCCCATAGGATCTTCCTTCAAACTCTAACTGCTGGGGAGACCCAGTCCTGACCCAACCACACAGTATCCCTGACCAACACGGTTTGTTCTTCTCCCAGAAACCGAAAGATGCAATCACAAGACAAAGAAACACCAGAAGCCATGCATCTGGATGAAGCCAAAACCAAAGAAAAAGATAGTCTGAGCAACCTAAGAGAGATGCTGATTCCAGAGGAGCCAACCATGGCCCCTGTGGAAACTGAGATGAATGAGAAAGATATACCACTGGTCTTCCTTCCGGTCTTCCTTCCTGAACCACAGGAAACCGACAGCTAGGGGGCATTCCAGGAACTAGCCACCCCAAGCCAGACACATAGTCGGTAATCTGAGCTCAGCTCTGTGGTCTCAACCCCCTTCAAGGTTAGACAGTATCCCTCCAAGCATCATAATTTATTGTTTAGCAGATACAATGAATGAACTGCAATCAGATGAAAAATTATTATTAAAAAAAGTCTTTTATTAACTGTTTCTCAAAGTGGGCAGTCAAAATTGCATAGTTGATTCAGACAATAGTGGTACACACACACACACACACACACACACACACACACACACACACACACACACACACACCCCAAGTGGCTTGGAGCAAAAGTACAAAATTTGGAGCTGACCAGGACACAGGGCCAGGACCTGCCTTGAGTAGTTCATGACCTCCATGCCTCAGCATCTCCAGCTGTAAAATGGAGCTGAAGACTGAGTTAGAGAGATCTTCAGTCTAAGCTCCTAGACCTGCTGGCTGGGAGTACAAGGAGCAGCCTTCCCAGTTCTTCTGATGCCCTCTTCTGTACCTCCTCATCTAGGGGTTTGTGACAAACATTAAAAATAACTGTACCCTCATCTGTGAAAACTGTCTCACATCTGAGTCTTGGCAAAACACCAAATAATTTTTGAAATCTGTCTTATTAATCCCAAAGGCTTTGGGTTTTGTCTTATAAAAGTGGGCTTTGAACACTCAGATCCATTGCTGAGAGTTGTAGATCCAACTAAACCACACTACATTTACCTAACAGTGGGCAAGCTGATGGTGCCCACCAGATGACGTCTGATCCTGCCAGCTGTGGATTCTCTGAGGACTGTCACTGGACAGAATGACCTTATTCTATAACCTTTGTCATTAAACTTGAGAAAGGTGGTCCTGGGGCGGGGGGTCTACTAACAAAGTGGGTACAAGAACCCTATGAATGCTGATAAAAATGCCGGAGTTTCCCTAACCTGGCACCTCACACTCCCTCTCTTCTCCCTTCATTGAGAGTCAAGTGCTGAAAATATGCCAGTCTCAGTTCCTTTGCCATATCCAGGTATCCCACAGGATCATTTCAACTAGACTTTTCTTGGATAAACTGTAGGGTTTGTAGCCTGGAGCGTCTGAGTGGTCAGAAGTCATGGGAGGTGCCAGGCTTTGGCCTCTGAACAGCGCCCCTGCCTTTCCCTACCACCAGGTGGCGCTAGGACCTCAGGGCCAGCCATCCTGAAGGCTGTTCTAAACCTTCCTGTGAACAAAGTTTCTCTAGGTGGTCTATCCAAGACTACAGTGAGGAGATGCAGCCGGCCTGGCAGTGGCTGGAGCAGGAAAGGCTCATGGCACACAATGTATACTGCAGTTCCTTCCTGCTTGTGACTGACCCCAGGTCTCTGGGCTGTACCAGGGGCAGCTTCCCTCCAGGGTGAAATGCAGTGGTTATCATGGAGACCAAGGCTTGGAGGGAATAGGAACAACATTCATGCCTGTCCCCCTGGCTCATACAATGAATGGAGTATAGAGCCCTGCTTGGTGCTGGAGACAGAGTCTGCTATCTACTAGAGGGCAAAGGCTATTGGTTCATCAGGGGACAAGGTTGGTGGAGACAAGCCCTGAAGCCCTGGCCATCAGATGAGCCCAAGGTTCTTGTAGAATGTCCTCAGAAGATCTTGAAGCCCTTCAGTAGAGTCAAGGTGGGTGCCTTGCGCTTGCTCTGGGCCCGGGATGACTTCACAGTGACCAGCTTAGCCTGGGCCACAGTAGGCATCTCTTTCAGGCTGATAGTAGAGAGAGTGTTGAAGGTGCAACTGGCTAGCCCATGCCGAGCAGCTAGTGGGGTCTGGTGGGACAGGGCCTTCTCCTCGGAGATGAAGAGGGGCCGGGCCAGGGGGCTCTTCTCCAGCTCCCGCCGGGCCTCCCGTACTGCCTCATGGAAGACGTGCTGCACGTGCTCAAAATCCAGGCAGGCAGAGACTTCAAAAAACAGGCACCCAAACCTGCTGGCCAATGCTGCACCTTCAGCTTTGGTGACCTGCCTGGTGACGAAGCAGGGTAAGGCAGAGTCAGGAGCATGCCACCCCAAGTCAGCAGGGAGGGTCCTGCATTCATCTCCCCTCTGACTGGCTTAGGGCCTGAGCCCATCTTCACCCTCTGAATCTGTTTACACATCAGTACAAGAGGAAATGGCATCTGCCTCTCAGGGTTGTTGAGGCTAAGACAATCTGTGATGGGTGCTTGGAGCACAATACCTGGCAAAGACTCAGTGCTCAATAAATGCTGGCTGATGTCACTAAAATCAAAATTTAGGAAGGAAGATAAGGAAGAGAAAAAAGTCTGACCAGTCTCCCATGCTAGACCCTGCCCATGGCCACAAAAAGAAGGCATCACCTTGTGTCTATTCCTTGGTCAGGAAATGGCAACCCTCAGCCCTAGCTTGAGGGATCAGTACTAGAGAGAAGCATTTGTTTGCTCTGAAGTGCCCAGACCACCAAGATAACTCAGGAAGCCTGTGGCTGGCAGAACTCTTGGGGTTCATGGGGATGTTTTGTCTGCTTGTCTAGAGGAGGGCCAGCAGAAAACAGGGATGAGGACATCATATCATGGGGAGCAGGGGAACAGAGAACCCATTCCTGTTTGGTCCTAGCCACCTCCTGTGATGATAAGACAGACTGTAAGTGGAAGACTCCTCGAAGCTTCTGAGCTAGACATCATGGGAACTTCAGTGAAGAAAAATGAAGAGTGACTTGGGTAGTTCATAGGCTTCTCAGGTTTTGAGGCCAAGGTTCCACTGGCTGAATCCTCCTGATCCATTGGTGAGCTGCCCCAGCCACCATCTCTGAGGACCATAGTAGAGCCCAAAATGAGGGGAGACACCAGGGTATGGAGTGGTAGGAAAAAAGTTTTTGCCCAAGGCTGATTTGGCAGGAGCAAGGGCCTTAGAGAGAGACTGGGATACAGCAGGGATGAAAAGGGTGGGGGTAGAGCATCTAGTCCCAGGGCTAGCATCCTATCTGCACCTTCACCACTTCCCAAGGATCCTTGGTGTTATTTGTTTCTATGGTGAGCTTGAACCTGCAACTCTGCCATAGGATATGAATGACAGTTTCAGAAACAAGAAACACATGTGCACATGCATGTGTGTGTATGTTTGTGTGTGCATGTATGTGTGTAGGTGGCAGGCACACAGAATTGTCCTTTTCCTTTTCCTTTTTTTTCTTTTCTGAGACAGAGTTTTCCTGTAGCCCCACCTGGCCTGGAACTCAGTATGTAGACCAGGCTGGCCTCAATCTCAGAGAGATGTCTGTCTCTGCCTCCCAAGTGCTGGAACTAAAGGAGTATGCCACCATGCCAGCTCTTTTTAAGGACCAGGTTTCATGTAGCCCAGGTTAGCTTCAAACCTGCTATGTAGCCAAAGATGACCTTGAGCTTCTGATCCTCCTACCTTTACCTCCCAAGTGCTGGGAATACAAGTATGCACCACCATGCCCAATTTTACATAATCCTGGAGATGAACCCCAGGGTTTTGTACACAGGAGGCAAGTACTTGCTACTAACTGAGCTACAGTTAAGACCCAGTCATTTTTCTAATTTTGCTGCAGCCCAGCAAACATTTTGCCAGTGGGTTTGGAAACTACTGCTCTAACTCCCGTTTTCACTGTTACCTGCAAGATGAGCATGGGAGACACCGACAAGGGCTCAGGGAAACTTGGAGCTAGTGTGCCATGAGCCCTAATTTACTAGTGATGGACTTGACCAAAAAGGCTGTGGGGTAAACTGTTATGCCCTGCTCCTAGGGAACAGAGGCAGTTTCATTTTCATTCAAGCTCTGAATTCTGGTCACTCGCTTGCAAACCATTTTTCAACGGTCCCTGAGTAAACATGGACTCAAAACAGTGATCTGTAGTCCCCATCTCCCCGACACACTGAAAACTGCTGTATTCATAATCCAGTCTTCTGACTTCTTTTCCAGGCTCCATGATTCCTCAAAGACCACCTCCAGTGACTTCCCTTTATTCCCTGAGGTGCAATTTGAGTCTAAGGGTTGGACCACCCATGAAGGCCCCATACCATGGTCACCCTTCAGGAAGCCACAACTGTCTTCTCCCACTGCCCATGTGACCTATTCTAAACAAATCTCAACACTAGTCACTGGGCCTCTGGAACCTGGGAAAGTGAGAGCAAGTTAAGGGCAGCTTCGAAGGGGCCAATGGAAGGCTGGTGCAGGTAGACTGGCCACATGGGGCAACATCCACACTGGAGAGTTCAGGGATTGCTTAAGCATTAGTGTCAAGGGCCTCAGGGTCAGGCGGGTGACTTGGATGTATGGAGAGAGTGGAAGCAGAAACCACAGGGAGAGGCAGGGCCTGAGAGGCAAGCCCCACTGCAAAGCATTCCAACTCCAGGTCATTTAAAACACTGTGCCAGCCAAGCAAAATATGCTGCAGTATTCCATGGTGATCTGCCCTCTAGCCCAGTCTATGACCTCTGGTTCAAGTCTAAGCCTTTTTTTTTTTTTTTTTTTTTTA